TTGTGTAAAACTCAGGGGATAAAAAGTCACCATCCCAAGCTATGAAACTTTTTTTCCAACCCAAATATTCTCAATGAAAGTTCTCTTGTCAAGCAGAAGGAGAGTCAAAAACAACAAACACTAGGAGAATTATCAGCTCCAGAACCACATCCCAGCTGTCTTTCCTCTCCACAGTCAGTGGCTCAAATGCAGTTTCCCACTTTCCTTTTGCCCTCCTCCCCTTACTCCTCAAGATTCTCACTCAAAAGAAAGCAATATTTACATTCTCAGAAGAGTGACAAGAAAAGGGGGAATGAATGCAATTATCAAAGAAGGAAAAAAGGGGCAAATTATTTCAGAATCACGGTCCCCACTGCAAATGTCAATGTAAAAGGGAACCTGTGTCATTGGGATATGGGGGGACACGTGGGGGGGGGGGCATCAAAAAGATGCGGAATGTGTTTGCACTTAGAGCTCCTGGAACAAGCTGACCCCATGGAGCAGAAAGTAAGAAAACCTGTGTTTTCCCTGCTTTCTTCTACTCTTCCCCCTCCAAGAGAGGAAGCTGAAGAAACTGGGGGGAGGGGCAGAATGTTACCGTTCCATTGGGGGTACACAAGACAGGCCTTAGGGTTCCTTTAGTTACTAGCCTCCAGTTAGTAGAGTCACGGAGAGAGGAGGAAGAGGGAACCTCTAGATGTAACCCACCTCTGTTCAAAAACAGCAAAAAGGAAGGGAGCAATGATTAAATCCAGATGGAGCGCCCCTGAAAGCGCCCTCAGGTCACTCATCCCTATTAGCAGGCGGAAGGGCTGGGATAAAGAGGATGGAAGGTCCCAGAGACTGGTCAAGCACAAGGCCCCACCACCCCCCCCAACTTAGGAGAGAAGGGGAGCCCGAGACCCCAGCCGTCCACTCCTTCCCCGCACCTCCCCCTTTGGCTGCCCCCACTCATCCCCCCTTCCCTTCCTTTCCTTTCCTCTACAGCCTCAGGCAGCCGCGGGGGAGGCGGCCGCTCCTTCCTCCCCTCACCCACCCCGTCCCCACCCCCACCCCGCTCCCACCTCCCGCCCGCCACGGGCCCGTTACCTGCTCGTCGAAGCGGCTGACCACGGCCTGGACCCATTCCACCGGCCTGTGCGCGGCCATGTCCTCCCCGCGGCCGGGGGGCGGCGGAGGAAAGGGTCGGCCGGCGCCCTGGGCCGGGAAGAGGGCGGGGAAAGGGGGCTGAGGTGAGGGAAGAAGAGCCCAGAGGGTCTGAAGAGTGCAGGCTCCGAACGTTCCCACGGGGGTGGGGATGAGGGGGTCAACGCCGAGCCGGGAGGGGGAGAGGGGAAGGGGGCGTTGGCAAGGAGGCTGGGGGGAGGGGGGCGGGGGAAGGGGGACCCGGGGAGGGGAGGGGGCCTCTTGGTCGCGGTCCCCACTAGCGCCGTCTCCCCACAGCCATCACAGCCCGAGACGCCGCCATGACACCCCACCGGAAGTGGGATCCTTTCCACGGCCCGGGGAGAGGGAGAGCGAGCGAGCTAGAGATTGAGAGCGCGGCTGGGAAAGGGGAGGGGGGAAGCCAGAGGGAAGGGGGCCTGCCGCGCATGCGCCGGCGCCGGCCGGTTTCATTAATGAAAAAGCTAGCCCTCCTGGAGGTGACGTCACCTAACTCCTCCGGACCCGGAGACGCGCGTCCCGCAGCGCCTCCGGGCTCACCTAGACCCGCGCTGGGCTCTGTCGGCCGGAGTCCGAGCTGACCCGGGATCATCCGCTCCCTTTCCCATTACCACTTAGGGCTGCCCCTCCCCCGCCGGCCTCCGGGCTTGGATTGCTCCGGCAGTTGGAAGTTAGGGCGCCCTGAGGCTAGCATTTCTCCCAGCGCTTACATCTCCAAGGGAGGCTGAGCCCTCTTTGCCTTAAGTTTTAACAAAAAAAAATAAGGCACACAACGTCAGATTTCCAGGCCCTTAGTAGCTACTATAGACTGCTGAGAAAATAAATCAAGAGAGATTCAATGTTGGCTTTTTTTTTTTAAAGGTCGCTTAAGAACCAATGCTAGACCCGATGGCAGTCAAAGTATTCAGTCTTAAGAATCCAAGCCCATCCTTCCTCTTCTAAACTGATAGGCACTCGATTTGTAACTTTTGCACAGTTGATAGATTCAAGTTTCACCATCCTTAAAACAGCCTTTAAGGGCCTCGCAGACATTACTAATTCAACACTTTCATCATCTCATTCAAACCTTTCAACAGATCTTCTCAATAAATTATCATTATCCTCATCTAACTGATGAATTCCGTGATTTGCCCAAGGCCATAAGATTGACTCAGAAGAAGAACCCAGGTGGTTTAACTCCAAAGACAACAGACACAAACTAGGGCCCTCCTGAAACAAAGGCCTTCCTGATCCCCCCACCCCCACTACCAAATTTGAAAGGATTTCAAGTGGGATTGGTTGGGCCAGTTTTCCAGGAAGGGGATTACTTCCAACATAAAAGATAATCTTTCTGTATCTGGCACTGGACTTTGAGATGAGTTATTTTAAAATGTATCTTTCTCAATACATTTTAGTTAGGCTAATGTTCAAATGAGTTTACACATCCTGAGCACACACTAATCAGCCATTTAGGACGCACAGGAAGATAGCAACTGGGTGATAAGACAGAGCTAAATTAGAACTTTAATTTTACTACAGAAAATCCGTAAAACCAATAGCTCGTGTACGGAGAGATATATCCATGAGGGTAGTTTCCAATCTCTGTAGGTTGGTGATTATCCAAAATACATGCTAAATGAATGTTTGATTCTGCTAGAACGAAAGAACAAAGTTTGGCTATTTCTCTTGGTCCCTTATTATTTAAGAATACAATGTGGTTATTGACTATTTTCTTTTAGATGATGTCAGAATGATAACAATGCTGGAAAAGAAAGGATGAATCTTAAATGAATGTCTGTCTATGCTTTCCCCATCTAGGACCCCCAGAAAAAGCTCTCACTGATACTCCCAGATTCCAGTACCTCTAATATAACTGCTAAACTTTCAAATCCACAACCTTCCTTTCCTTTTCTCATGTTTCTGAAGGTTCCTAATATCTTCCTTATTGCCTTGGCTTTCTGCCTGTCTATATCCCCCTAATCTCCCATACATTGGACACAACTGCCCAGACCCTTGGCTCCTTTCCTCCATCAGCATTCCACTGTGGAGGTCCCTCTGTGACTCTTTCCTGTCCTTGTCTGGTTTATTCCATGATTCCCCATTCCCTTTAATTCTGGGATAAAACAATAAAACTTTAGGCCCCCGTGCTCTGATCTTCTTTCTTAATTCAGGCTACGGTCAGCATGTTATTAATTCAACCTAATTTGTACTTTCTGTCCTGTTGCTTCTCCTGAGTGCCAAACCTCTCATTACAGTTGGAAATCCAGACCTCAGCTCAACTTCCTCTCCAATTAATAAATTCACTCAGTTCTGTTGAACCAATATCAAGTATCCCAATGCCTATTATATATCATGTACTTTGTTGTTTGTTTGGTTTTTTTTTTT